ATTTGCTTTCTATTTATCTGCTGTGGCCTGCCTTGCCAGTGCTGGTGGGGGTGGGGGTTCTGTTTTGCTCCTCTGGTAGTTCATTGATTAGCATATGTTTGCTCCTTGATTGTGTGCCTCGTGGTGACCTTTGCTTATCTGGGTGATGATTGCTGGTGATTGATTGCTGGTGATCTTCTGATCTTTTGTCTCTTTTGAATAGTATGTAGATAATGTTTATCTCTGTGTGTCTGTTAATAGCTGCCTTGTTAATTCTCTTGCTTGGATTTAGATTGGTCTAAAATGCTGACAGTTTCCCAGTTAAAACTAGTTTGCAAGAAAAGAACCAAGCTCAGAGAGCCCCAAGGACTCCACAGTTCAACCCTGAGCTACACATATTCACCTCTATTGGTAGCTTTGCTTCTGTTTGGAAGCATGCCAGAGAAATAAGTCTCTGGCTCTTGCAGATCCAAGCTTCCTTTGATCCACAACTGGCATGCCTCAGAGGGCTTACTTTTTTTTAGTCCTTCTTGTGATGGAATCATGGGTGTTTTCAGGAATTGTTCAGGAGAAGGGCCACTGAGCTTCATCTTCTAATTGCAGTCTGCTTGTAGAGATGGAAATCCATATAGTCTCCTGGCTCCTGGAATGCCCACATCTGGCCATAGGATTGCTTCCCAACAACACAATCTTACATGTATCTGTGGAGATGTAGATTCCATTGAGTTCAAAAAGGCCTGCAACGTGTTTGGGATTGCAGCTTCAGTGATCGTCACTGGCATTAAACAGCAAGAATGTTTATCTCATTTTTAAAGGAGCAAGATTTAGGCCTTTTCAGTGAGATGTTTCTGATGCTACATTCCATACAATCATGTATCTCAATTGTTTTCAGGAAGCAATTGGTTCCTAAAACTACAGTGTGGGGACTTTTCACCGGCTGGGTAGAATCAATAGATGATGTCCTATGTGTGCATATGTGTGGTAGTAATAAAGTGGTTTTTTTCTTTACCATATCAACTGTAGTAAAAAACAAACAAACAAAATTAGGACCTCCAGTAGATATTCATTTGTGCAGAAGTTCAGGTGTGGAGGCCTTTCTTTTGCAAATAGCTCACATCCCTAATTATCTTCTTGGGTTTGCAGAAAGAAATTGTTTTACAGTGCTAAGTCCAAAGGATATGTGAAATCTGTGCAATATTGGAAGCATATTATGTTTATGTTGAGAGTACTGTACAGGGATTCCCTATCTCAGTATGAATCTGCCTGTTGTCCGTGGAAGCCTTCTAAAGATGCCTTCACTTTCCCAGATCCATTGGTTGACCCCGCAGAAGAAGGCCCTCTCATGTTTTGTTCCCAAATGATGGAATATACTCTCTCAGGAATAATGCTCAGCTCCAAATTTTTCCAGCTGGAAAGGAATCAAAACCTTCCTTTTTACGCTGGCCTTTTCAGTTCTAATTAACAGTGATTTAACTATTTTACACAGAGTTTAAACAATTAGGTTTTATTTTTAATGGTTAGAATGATTGAATGAAAACAAAGATAGAATACAAATGGAATTACTATATACACACATAGTGTGTCCGTGGGTGTCCGTGTGTGTGTATGTAAAGTTTTCTCTTTTTCCTCATGTTCTTGCCATAGATATCCAAGTACAGCAACTTGGATATCCCTGCTTTCTTCAAAAACCTCTGAACATAAAGAATATGGGTTTTTAATCCTCCTATAAGGAATAAAATTCCCCCTCTATCTGCCAAACAATTTCTTGTAGAAACCACTTCATCAATTTTCATCAACTTCCAATGTAGCCATCCTTCCATAATCTCTCAGTCACACGTGTCAGAAAAACCATTGATTTCCTTCTGTCATAATATATAAAAGGGATGTCTCTAAAGTTTCTTTTTTTAAAAAAAAATACACATTTGTATTTAGTCCAGTTCCTTCCATTTGCAACATGCCAGTTGTAAGTGCTGATACTTATGTTTCCAAAATTGTATGCCATATACAAGAGGGATCCCTGAAAGTTTGCAGAATTACCCAAACAACAAGAATTACAACAAAACTTGAAGACCAGAAACATTAAGGAGCGTGGGATTCCAAAACAAGAACAGGGATGGTCTGTGTTATTGTGAAGAAGGTGGTGGTGCAAAACTTGGTGTAAGCAGGAAAAGTGTGGAAGAAGACATTTGCTGATTAAAACAGTGAACATTTTGTAACCTATTTTTTATAGTTCCTATTTCTTCAGAATCTGAATACCACTTTCCGAGAAATTCTCTCACTTCCAGTATAAAATAAGATTTTGAGCATACCTGGCCAACGTTGAGTAGACAAAAATCTAGTTTCTGGAAATAGAGAGAATGATCTATTTGAGAATAATGATCTGGATTGATACAAATGGGCATTTGTTTGTGTGTGCTTTGTATTTTGAAAGCCAATCCAGGAAGTTCCCCTTGCTCACTTTCTTCCTCTGTAAGAGGGTTGCTATGGCAAACCTATTACTCCAGCAAAGAGAAGCAAGCATTGGTGAAGTGCTGATCCTTTTTCAACTTGCCGTGAACCTCTGATTACTTAAATGATCAAGACTGCACTGAAAGAGTAGCTTGAACATTGTGAAGCCAGATGATGTAGCCAGCACGAATGGCCTAGCCAGACACATTTGATAAAATAGTAAAGCTGCCAAAATTACCTTACTTTGGGTCCTGGAAATTTGCCCTCCTGTTTTGTTGTTGTTCGATTACTTAGACCCAGAATGCCAGCCTCTTTTATATGGTGACCTGAAATTTAATTTTGTACTGTCTGACTATTCTTCTTCTGTGTTGTCCAGCAAATTGGCTTCTTGGGAGGAGGGAAAAAATGGTGATGAAAAATACTTCAGGGCTTATTAGAGTATCCTTTCCACTTCGGCAGGAAAAAAAAAAGGTTCAATGGGTTGGGTTCAGTTTCTCTTTGCATTTTCTGAGTTGCATTTATGGCATATTTGAAAAGCTATTGTACTGTGTAGTTCAGGGGTACACAACCTGATGGCCAGTGGTGAGGGCACACCTCTTGGTCCAAAGCCTTTGGCTGGGGGACCAAGAACCTCTCCAGTAGGGTGCCAAATGGTAATCTTTAATATGGTAGAAAGGAATACCAGGGGAGTAATTGCATTAACAGGTTTAAGATAGTAACATTAAGGTCAAAAATATCCCATTTAATTCTTCTCATGTATTCTTCCCACCATTTTTTAAACCTGCCTGTGCCACTTTTTGACCATTGTCCCAACATGTACTGACAAGCCAAGGAAAGCCCTCAGCCCAGAAAAGATGTGTTATGTGAATAATGTTTAGTCCAACTCTATAACTTTGATTCTTCCTTCAACACATCAAAAGTAAATTCCTGTAAGGTTGATTCCCCTTACAGTAATTATATTTAATTATATACATTTCCCCTTTGCTTTAAGTGGAAGTGATACACACATACACACACACACACACAATCGATAGCCAGAACTATAGATATATAGATATAAAACATGTGGAATCTTATGCCACCTAATATAGTCCACATAACTTTCCTATTCGATTGACAAGCTCCTCCTAGTTCCACTGTCCTTAATTTTATTTATTTGTTAATGTAGAGAGTATAGAGGATGGCTTTGAAGGACAGAAGGAAGATCCGTTACTAAGGCAACAATCAGATAAACGAGGCTTGAACCAGGCCAAGGAGGAGATTTATGAAAAAGCTTCAGACAGCCCTCCCCCAGACTGACATGAAGATAAAAGAGAAGGGAGGGAAGCCCATTGAGACTTGCAAGATTCTGTTGCTATAGGTGTGCTAATAAAAGTAGCTTTAGGCCCAAAAAGGGTCTGTTCCTTCATCTGATCTACCTTATCGGACTGACAATTTATTAGGTGATAGAGATGATGATGATGATGATGATGATGATGATGATGATGATGATGATGATGATTTCAAACTCACAGCAGCCCTTTGAGGTAGGTCAGGCAAAGAAAGAAGGCCTGGCCCCAAATCACCTAGTGAATGTCCATGGCTGAGAATGGACTTGAAATTGGGTCACTCAAATCCTAGTCCAACCATCAAACTACTACTTCACACAAACTCACAGATTTAGCTCTTACTTAGTATTATCTGGTTTCCTTAAGCATTCTGGATACATTCCTTCCACACTCCCCTCACTTTCTGTGAGATTCTAGTGACAGTTGAGGAGGTAGGACTGGTAGAGGTTGACTTTCGGCCAAAGCCAGATAGGGGGATGGTGGTGTAAAGATGAATATTTCAGGCCCTATTACAGCAGTAGGCTGGAAAGACACCATGGGAAATGTTATCCAAGCCACATGGATAACAGAAGGATAATTACTCACTGGTGGAAAATCTATTTTCCAGATAGAAGATGCAGGTCTACTCCTTAGAAGCTCAAGGGGAAAAAAAGAGGCAGGAGGTGATGAGATGAACCTCTGTCCTGAACTGGGCAAGCCATTGCCAGGGACACTCAACTCAAGGAACAAATAGCCTGATGTTTGAAGAGAACTTCTGTGTTCCTGTAATACAAAATAGCCCTTACCCAGCTATTTTTTGAGAATGCTTCCTTTACAAGCAATACTGCCTTCCTCTTTCAGGCTGATCTGTATATTTCTTTGCTAGTTTGCTAAGTTGAGTCAGAGACAAGAACAAGTTGACCTTGGCTGCTGGATTTGACTAATGGGAGATGACTGTTCTCACAGGAAAATGTGAATGCGGCCAGTGTATGTGTTTCCCTCCGGGAGAGTCCAAAATATATGGCAAAATTTGTGAGTGTGATGACCGGCAGTGTGAAGACAAAGATGGCAATGTCTGCAATGGTAGGTCAATTTTAAATATGGGTTTCAGATGATGTAATGCTACAGTTATAATGCTAAATTTTAGCCCTGGTTTGGAATTATTGTGGTGATAATATAAAGAAGGTAACCATTTTAAGAGGAAGGAATGTATGTATGGAGATAGATAACTGTCTAGGGTAATGCATTTTTCTTAAATGAAATAAACAGCTGATCTCATATATCTACATTTTGTAAAATAAACAATGGGAACACATGGTTTTTTGTGTCTAAAAATGCAAAATTATTTGAAGGAAACAGGAGGAATTGACTCAGGATCTATCATCTGAATTAAATTAATGGGCTACCATATGCTTAATGATTCACGGCTTGGGGAAGCAGAGGGAATAGGAAAGATGAGGGCATCCAAGTGCTTGTGTTGTGCAGTTAAAAAGCTAAAATTGAAATTCAGCAAAATTTCCCTATCCCTAAAAGCAGTATGTGGAGCCTGCCCAAGATTAAAAGTTTTGCTATCTATAAGTTCTAGTCTGAACATCATATTCATATGTGGCAATGGGAAACATGAAGATTTCTATGCATGTTCTTCCCATGTTTCTCAGTACCAGGGCCCTTGTCCAAATGGTACTTACTCTGGTGCCTTAAACCTGGATAAACCAGTGAGGTGTATTAAGAGAAAACACACTTTGCATATATTTAGAGGCACTCTGTTCTTTATAATGAATGCCTTGTTTTCAGAGGTGAATATTGGTGGAGAAAGTAGGTTGTGGGGCTGTGCTCAGGTGATTCTCTCAATCGAGCTTATGCAGACTCTTTAAATTGGATACCTGTGAGTTATTACTTGCAGCTGAACATCAAAGCTGCACAAAATGTGGTATGATTTCCTTGCAGAGAGAACTCTGCAGCATTAATTAGGTGCCTTTTTGTAGTTCATTGATGGGGAACGTGTGAGCCTGTTGTTGCTGAGCTACAATTCCAAGCATTCTTCCTTATTTTTCGTCTGATTGAGATTGGTGGAAGTTGTAATTCAGTAGCTTTGGAGAACCATAAGTTCATCCTTCCTGTTGTAATTGCATGACAAATGAAATCAACAAAGAAGCTAAAATGACAAGCAGCCAATGGTTATGCTGATTGTGGGTGATGGGAGTTGTCATTCAAAACATCCAGAGGAATAGGTTGATTTGAAAAGTAGATGGATTTTTTCCTGCTATTTTGGGGATAAACATGTAGAACTTTCTAGAAGGTTAGGATTTTTATTATTTAAAATTATTTACTCCTTTGGAAGCCACCAAAACTAAGCAAATGTATATTGTTCAAGAATGGCCTAAAAAGAAGCTTGTTTGCCAGGTACAGTGGTATCTCTACTTACGAATGCCCCTACTTACGAATTTTTCGAGATACGACCAGCTCCGGCCCCAAA